CGCGCGCCGCTGCGGCCGCCGTCCCCCCCTCCGCGCCGGCCAGGCGGGGGGGCCGGCGGGCTGCCTCGGCCGTCGCTGCGGGGAGCGGGCGGTGGGCGGGCTGCGTGCGCGGCCGCCGCCTCTCCATGGCGAAGAGCAAGTTCGAGTACGTGCGGGACTTTGAGGCGGACGACACCTGTCTGCCCAACTGCTGGATAGTGGTCCGGCTGGACGGCCGCAACTTCCACAGGTGAAGGCCGGGCGGGCAGCCCGTGGCCGGGGCGCTCGCAGTTTCCTCGGCCTAAAGGCGCCGGGGCTGCGGGCTCCGAGTGATGTGCCGAGAAGAGGGATCCTGGCTGGTGCCTTGGCCGTTCCCTGCCGGACCTGTGTGAATTCTGCAGGTGCAGGGGTTACAAACCCGCCTTTCCCCCCTGAATCCCCGTGAACCCTTCGGCCTCTCCAGGGCACGGAGTGACTGCGGGTGTTTGTCTTCAGGGGCCAGGGGCAGCTTCGGGACGGTGCCTTCGGGCAGGGTGGTAGGGAAATGGTGCACCAGTGCCTGGGGTGTGCTGGGGGAGGGACAGCAACTGGTATACAGGGATATTTATTTGTGTTTGGAGCCGGTGTCTGTGTGGCATTTGCCTTTCTTCGCGATAAATAGAGCACAGTTCTGTTGTGATGTGTTCTTGCTGGGGGTTTGATCTCTGGTTTGGTCACCACAGGTTCTGGTAAAGCTCTCAAGTCTTGGCAAGTTCATGTTGCCCTTGTTGGACTGAGTATAAAAGGCACCCTAGGAGAAAGTGAGTTTACAGAAAGTAGTATTTGTCATCCTTTTCCAAATAAAGTACAGAACTACTGATGGGAAGGAGAATGGATTATCCAGAATGTATAAAAAGAGTTTTTTTTGTTATTGCTTTTCATACCTGGAGGGAATTCTCTGTCAGTATTGACAGGATACTGGAAATCAATATTCATAGAAAGCAAATATGAGGAAAATGAATGGGTTAGCATTTTTATTAGCTTTTTAAGGATTCTTATTTAACCATTTTTGCTTTGAAGGTTTTCTGAGCAGCATGAGTTCAAAAAGCCAAATGATGATCGTGCTCTTCATCTGATGACCAAGTGTGCCCAGACAGTGATGCAAGAATTGGAGGATATTGCTATTGCGTATGGACAGAGTGATGAATATAGTTTTGTTTTCAAAAAGAAGAGTAGGTGGTTTAAAAGAAGAGCAAGGTAACAGCTGCTTTGATACTGAAGTGAACTTGTTTTTAACAGCTCTCTCTAAACCTGTAATTCTTTAGATTTGCCTTTACCTGCAGGCAGAGGTTAGGAGTAGGGCTGTGTTTGGGTGTCTACGCTACAGTTAGTTTAGGTTCTTCATGTGAACTCTTTGCATGTGATCTTTCAGGAAAACACATTCAGTGATACAGAATTTTAAAAAAAGTTTTGATGTTTCCTTTTACAAACGCTTACTTGATTCTCAGTACTTCCTGTTCTGCAGAAGAATCTGTGCCATAACTGATACGTTGGGCCATTATTTAAGAAATGGTGCTATCCACTGGAATTATCGCTACTGATACCTCAGATAATCACAGATATTTAACCGTATTGACATATTTCTTTCTTTTTTCCTTTTTCTTTGTGTTTGCAAGTAAGTTCATGACTCATGTGGTCTCCCAGTTTGCCTCAAGTTACGTATTCTATTGGAAGGATTACTTTAAGGACCAGCAACTTCTGTACCCACCAGGATTTGATGGGCGAATTGTGCTGTATCCCAGCAACCAAAATTTAAAGGACTACCTCAGCTGGAGACAAGCAGACTGTAAGCGTTTCTAGAAAACAGAGATTTGTGCAGTTGAGTTCTCTTCCTCTCTGAATAGAAACGTGTTTGTTGCCAGTGTATTTGTACATATACATATCAGTGAAAGAACAGCAGGTAGGGTGGTAGTTTTAAATAAACAGAATTGTTTTGGGCTTTGTATGGATGTAGAAATTCTGAGTCTTCAGGCTACAACTATATTTGTTGCATGCTGGGAGTGAGTTCGGCCCAGAAAATATTAGACTTAATAATAGAATTAATTTATTATTTTTTACATTCTGGGTTTGTTTAGCCAAGGTAATCTTCTTTAATGAAGAGATGTGAATGTTGAAAGTCACACCATGTAGCAAAATTGTAGCAATCAAAAGTGCTGTTTATTCCATGCTAGAACAGACCATTGGGTTTAATTTCTAGGTTTTCATTAGTACCTAGTCCCTGTTGCTCAAATGAAGATAATTTAATTACACATAAACACCCTTCCCCCTCTGCTCTCTCTTTTCAGAATTTTGTAACGAAATCTCTCTTCTTGTCATTCTTATGATATGCAGTACCTTAAAAATTAATCAGAAAGGTTGTATCTTCTCTAGCAACTGATATTATTAATTCCCCTTTATTCTTGGCTGTTTCTTGGATATGACTCTGGAAATAAAGTTGTTTTTTCTGAGTAATCACTCAGATTTGGTAAATACTCTTTCCTCTCACTCTTTTCTCTTTAGGCCATATTAATAATCTTTATAATACAGTGTTTTGGATGCTTGTACAGCGAAGTGGTTTGACACCAGTGCAAGCACAGGACAGACTCCAGGTAAGACTCTCTTGAGGTCTTTTTTTTTTTTTTTTTCTGGCTACAAAGAAAATCGTAAGATTTGCTGAGCTGTATCTTCCCTCCCCAGCAGCCCCGGCTGGCTTGTCTGCTCTTACTGTAATAATTTTGCAGGTGTAGATTCAACAACTTCTTGATTTGTACAGATGTTAAGATGATTAGCAAATGATGTGGTTTTGGTCAAATATTAGCAGGATTTTGATTTCTTAATTAGCAAGTTTAGAAATCTTAATTATAAATATCCAGTATCCATAAGCACGAAGTACAATGGCAGGATTCAGCTGCTATTGATTCCCTGTCCCTTCTGTAGTATTTTGTCTCATTGTGCAGACTTCAGCAGATTATTTCTCTTTTCTCCTGGAGTCTGCTGACTTTCTTCTGTTTGTCTTGAAAATGTAATTAAAAAATATCTCTGTTTTAATATCCTCATTTGGCAGTTGGAAATAATTCCTCTGTTGGGAGAGGTAGTTAAACGTTGTAATTTAAAGGTGAAAAACCTGTATAAATGTTAGTCTTACTTCCAGTATTCACTCATCTTCTACCCTAGCGATTCAGTTTGTTTGTTTGTTTTCTATAAGAGTACTTTTTCTTTTCATTTCCTCTCAGGGAACCTTGGCTGGAGATAAGAATGAAATCTTGTTTTCTGAATTCAACATCAACTATAACAATGAACCTTCGATGTATAGAAAAGGAACTGTCTTAATATGGCAGAAGGTAAAAAACTATTACCACTTGCTTCATGCTCATGTTTTAAATAGCTGCACTATGGCAGACAAGCTACACTGTAGATCACCAGATGTATCCCAAATGTATGTCTATGTATAAATATATTTTAAAACTAACCATATTTGCCATATAATGATGTGTAAGAAGACTACTTGCTTTGGAGGTGTCTTTGAAATATCTTTGTCTATGAGCGTAGTATAAAAACTAGTCTCTGAAGTCTGGCTTAGATCAAACTACGACTGTTGCGATAAAATGTGTATCAACAGATGAGGATGTATATGTAGAATTTCACAAGACTGATGTATTTGTTAGATAAATCTCCCAATCATACAGTCGGTTTCTTAGCGTTACCAGCTTTGAAAATTGAGGAAGCATTCTGCTTCCTGAAAAATTACATTTTAATGACTGTTGTCAGTTTGATATGGTAATCACTGGGGCCTGTGCCAGGCCCTTCACAGGATTAGATCCCAAGTAGTTCCACTGCAAAGGAGTTACAAACTTTCGTTCAGTAAGGCAGCTCAGCTCATAGTATGCTTAGGCCCTTTCTACTTCTGTAAAGCAGCATAGTAAGGAGTGCAGCTGTTAATGGGGAACCGCTTTTAACGATAACTTGGAAATTTTCATCATTCTTGGATTACATCATTGTTGCAGAGCTAGTTTAAGAGATTCCTGTCCTGTGTCTTGTATGAGGTGAGACCCCAGAAAATCATAAATGTTTATGGCCTTAGTGTCCTTCTGTGGTAGGCGATCTTAATTAGAAATATGTATGTTTTGTGTGATCAGGACCTGATGAGTCTATGCTGAGAGTTATCTGTAACTTGCTCAGCCTTTGAGCTTCTATATGTAGAAAACTGATAATCCTTCTCCCCCCCCCCCATTTAATTTTTGCCATGGGCTTTTTTTTTTTTATTCAAACATTTTAAAGAATGAACTAGAGAAAAATATTGTTCTACACGTTTAAAAAATCTGGCAAAATTGTTTTGTAGAGTTCTAACCCTTTTTTGAAAAATTCTGATTCATGCTAATCCTTGGGTTTTTTATTTAAAAAAACTATAAACCCCCCCCCCCCCCCCCAATTTAATTTTGGCCAGTGACTTCTATTATTTCATTCGAACTACTTAGAACAGATAGAGGCTTTAACCTAGAAATATATTCCACTTGTTCCATATACATACTTTTTTTTTTCTTGGTCATTTGCAAGGTCTCCCATTTGTTTTCTATAGTTCCAAAATAAGTATTGTACTTTTATTCAAGAATACTCGCAACTGATTATGTGAATTTGCAGGTCATTTCTTCAAGCCGTGTGATGATGGCATGTGGTTTCCACTGCTCATGTGTTAGTCTTTGAACTGAGAACAGACTCTCTTTCAAAAGATTCAGTGTTCAAATTCCGTAGTATGCTATAGGGTTGGTAGTTGCTCTTGTTGCAGCTTTGTTTCTTGTCCATTTGTGAATCCCCTCTGGAGTCTTACATGTCTGCTAACGCGTCAACTGTATTTTCAGATTAACGAAGTCATGACTAAGAAAATAAAACTGCCAAAGGAGGCGGAAGAAAAGGAAGTTGAAGTGACTCGGACTAGGACTAAAGTTGTTCCCCTGCACTGTGACATTATCGGGGACCAGTTCTGGGAGGAATATCCTGAAATTCTGGCTGAGGATAGTTGATATCTCTGATGAGTATAACTGGTAGTTTACGTTTTGCTCTGCTTGGATTGTTGGCAAGTGAGGAGTATGAATGGTGGCTGGCAGAGTTTAACCTGTAACCCTCTTCAACAACTACATTGGTTTTAACACTGTTGTTGCCTGAAAGAAAAGACACTGGTATGTTGTCTGACATACATGGATATGCCTATATGGAAAACCTGAAATCATATTATATTTTGAATATTAAGAACTCGTCATAAATTAATACCGCTCCTTGTACACGCGTATTTGTAGAAAAACTGTATAGAAATGTCACGCATTTCTATAGCATTTAAACCATGAGGTATTTTACTAAACTGCCAAACTATAAAAAAAGCATATTTGAATAGTTAAAAGCAGAGGAGAAAATAATTCTTTTTATTTTTGTTTCAACTGAGAGGGACCAGAATACTTCAGTTGGCACTTAGTATTAAATTTCAAGGCCAGTGTGTTTAGTCAGATCAGCAACAAACTGTTCAACTGCCTGATGTCTCTGATTCTTACAGCAGTTTTCTATGACCGATTTTAAAAGCTTTTGTCAAATGTACAGGATTTTTATACTTTAAAGAAAAAAAAAATCTTCCTTGCTGTGTTTATTACTTGGTCTTTCTCATTCCTGGGACTTTACTGGTAATTGGTGAAAGTTCCAAACAGTGAAGTTAATAATAAAGACACTGTAGAGACTTGAATTCTGTTAGGACATGGGTAGACATTGTGCTCTCATCTTCTGTGGTGTCGTGGTTTGACCCCAGCTGGCAACTAAGCACCACCCAGCCGCTCGCTCGCTACCCTCTCGTGGGATGGGGGAGAGAATCGGAAGGGTAAAAGTGAGGAAACTCGTGGGTTGAGATAACGACAGTTTAATAGGTAAAGCAAAAGCCGTGCACGCAAGCAAAGCAAGGAATTCATTCCCTACTTCCCATGGGCAGGCAGGTGTTCAGCCATCCCCAGGAAAGCAGAGCTCCATCACGCGTAACAGTTACTTGGGAAGACAAACGCCATTGCTCTGAACGTCCCCCCCCTTCCTTCTTCTTCCCCCAGCTTTATATGCTGAGCACGACGTCCTATGGTGTGGGATATCCCTTTGGGCAGCTGGGGTCAGCTGTCCCAGCCGTGTCCCCTCCCAGCTCCTTGTGCCCCCCAGCCTGCTCGCTGGTGGGGTGGGGTGAGAGGCAGAAAAGGCCTTGACTCTGTGTCAGCACTGCTCAGCAACAACTAAACCATCCCTGTGTTATCAACACTGTTTTCAGCACAAATCCCAAACGTAGCCGCATACTAGCTACTGTGAAGAAAATTAACACTATCCCAGCCAAAACCAGCACAATGTGTCTGATAGCTTTTGGTGATAAAA